ACTGAAGCAAGGAGACACTTGGGAGGAAAGCATACGTAAAACACTTAAAAGAATATTTTGATATCTTTCTTTAGGCCAAAGAGAATCAGAGAAAGCCAATGACTAAGAGGTAATTCCCCTTTTCACCAACTGTGCTATAACATTTCAGTTTGCATCTCTCAAGATGAGCCTCTTTTAAAGCAAAAATAAATAGGGGTTTTTTTGTTTGCTTTAAAAACCCATTTAAGATACTGCAAACATCTGTGAAGATATGCTACCAAAATAAAGTAGCCACATAAACTCCACATACAAGCAGTCAGATACCAGCAACAAATCAAAAGGGACTTTTTAACCCAAAAATGTTAACTGCAGAAAAAGCTCTTAAAAATATGTATGCTGGTTTTGGCTAGGAAAGAGTTAATTTTCCTCATAGCAGGTAGGATGGGCTGCATTTTGGATTTGTGCTGAACACAGCGATGATAATATAGAGATGTTTTTGTTACTGCTAAGCAGTGCTTACACAGAACCAAGGACTTTTCCACTTCTTGTACTGGCACACCAGCGAGGACACCAGGGGTTCATAGGAAATTGGGAGGAGACACAGCCAGGACACCTGACTCCTAACTGACCAAAGGGATATTCCATACCAAAAGGTATTAAGCTCAGTATGTGAAGTGAGAGGGAAGAAGGAGGTAGGGGACATTTGTAGTGATGGCATGTGTCTTCTCAAGTAACTCTAATGCCCCCGCTCTCCTGGAGATGGCTGAACACCTGCCTGCCCATAGGAGGCAGTAAATTAATTCCTTGTTTTGTTTTTCTTGCATGTGGAGCTTTTGCTTTATCTATTATACTGTATCTCAACCCATGAATTTTCTTGCTTTTACTTTTCCAATTCTCTCCCCCACCCCTGTGATGGGGAAGGGAACAAGTGGCTGCATGTGCCTGGTTGCTGGCTGGAGTTAAACCATGATAATATGCTATAAACATCTGAGGTTACTACAGGATTTTGCCAGAAGCTAAAATGTAAACTGTCTCATCACATAGCTTAGGTGAAGTTACAATACCACAGCTGCAGGGTACATGAAAGGAAAGCTTGATCAGACTGAAGACAGGATTCCAGTGAAGATGAGGAGCTAAAATGAAGCTTACATTTCCTTCTGTCATACTGCACACAACATAGTATTGTTGAGCAATACATTCAGAGGGTGCAGCTACAATGTAAGCAGGCCATGAACTGCTGACCCTTTGCATAACAAAGGGCACTGGGACCAGACACTCAGAGACACAGCAGGAGCTGACTACCCACAGACTTTTGGACTGTAAGGGTATAAAAGCCCAGGGTTTCCTTGTTGGGGATCCTCCCTCCTTGCAGACACCCAGCTCGAGCTGTTATTTTGTGATTTACTTATTGCACCAAGATCAAATTACTTTAAAGATCAGGATGTCTGATACTCTGCCATGGGAAATCTAGGGTCGAGCTGGTAACGAAACCTGGTCTGACTGTGTGAGTGTGGGGTGTGTAGCTGCGAAGGGGCCTCGGTCCTAGTTCAAGTGATGCTAGTGTGACTGTCAGAGTGCCTCCTCCATGGTTGGACAAGGGAAGTTTCCTGAACATAATACTGTCTGTTATAATGAAGTATATTCAGTCCTTTGAGAAGACAACAGCAAGATACTGGTCTTCTCATGAAGAATGTTCTGTTCCTCCTTTGTTATGACTATCAGTGGTGCCATTTATCAAATAATAGCTATGATTAATGCTGGTATTTCTAGCCACATAAATATAGCTTTAATTTACCCCCTATTCCTCTGAGTATGTTGTGGTATCTCTTTTTATAAATATGAGGAAGAAAAATTGTGCAGAACATTCATGACATGAGAATTCAACTCTGAATTCCAAGACTGCAATACATTCAGCAGCAGGTTTTTAAAAAAGTTACGTGAAACTGCAGTTCAAGAACTGGAGAACAAAAAGCTAAAACTGAACTGAAATTCAAGGATTATTTCAGAGTGAAATTCACTGTATTAGGAGAAAATTCAACTGTAAGATTTCAGCTGAGGATCTGAGAAAGATTTTGGAAGAATCAGGTGTTACATTCTGTTACAGACTTATACTATAAGACTTCTTTAAGACAGTCCTGGGATAAATATTACAAGATGTTTTAATATACATCACATCTGTCTCAGTAGCTCCATTTAGCATTTGGATATACATTCTTACACCGTGCCTTTCACAGACTGTCCTCTAATCACTTTCTGTGTTGTAATATCTGCTATAAGCACTGCTGGAGCAGGCTGGCAGTGCCACAGAAACACTGATACTAGCCCAGAGCAAAGGTCCTGTGAGTGCAGTGCTTTGTCTCCATGAGGGCTGTAAGCAGATGCTAATAGACAAATAAGAGGACAGGTACATATACTACATCCTTCTAATGCCCTCCCAGACATCGAGAATTTGCAGCACAGACCTTCTGAGTTAGATGTGTTTTCTTTGCATTTCAGTGCCTTTTGTAGATTTATCTTCACTGAATCTCCTGTGCACCCACAAAAATTTCCAGTCAGAAATCAGTTTTACATGCCCAGTTTCTTAGTGAAACACCACCAGATATATTAATTATCAGTGATAAATTAAACAAGTAATAAAAAAGGCTACTATTATAGTTAAAAAATTATTTAGACAAAACTGACTACCCAAATCAAGCCCCTTTCTGTACACTTCCTATTGAGCTGCCATCCGAATCCACTAAGTGCCTGACTAATGTCTGTACTGTCTCCTCAATTCAAATGCTGCAGGTGCTCCTAAAAACTCACTCCAAGTAGCTCCATAAAGGAAAACAAGTAGATACGCAGTGGATGGGAGCCAGGACATTCAGTCATGAGTGGATGGGTCCTAGCTTGATGTCCTAGTACCAAGTGCAGTTTCTGTATTTTGCTCTTAAAAAAAAAAGCTCAGTTTGGAGGTCCAAACCCAGTTGAGATCTAAAACCTTCAATGCAGAAGGGAGCACATCTGTACTACCCACCTGGTCTGAAGGAAAATCTGTACTTCAACAAAGTGCATAGTACACTCTCCTTCCTGACAAGCTTGCAGTGGCTTGGTAAAACATTCCCTTGGTTGGTCAAGATGGGAGTGCTGAGCTTTTTCAGGGACAAGAAAAAATTCAGGAAAGGAGCAAAATATAATCCATGCATCTTGCTTTTTTGGTAAGATTTCAAGTTACAAGACTACTTTGTGGTTCCAGAGCCCAACAACCGTCCCCTGTTCTTTTTCAAAAGGAGAACCAGTACTTGCACAGCCTTCCGGAATGTTATAGGTATATAATGGCCAGTCTCTTCGCGAACGAAGAACCGGGGAAGGTCTTTCCACCTTCCAGCCTGCGCATTGGATTTTTTAGGTGAGACACAGTGTGCGCGGAACTGAGCCCACCCTTTAATCCTGAGGTTCATCTGCCGGGGCCAAGCACGCTTGGACGGTGGCAGCGAGGTCCTCAGGACGTAGATGGATTGCCTTACAGGCTAACGAGCTCCATCTGCCCGGGGAGGGGCCCCGACCGGGAATCGAACCTGGGTCTCTGCAGTGACAGTGCAGTGTGTTTTCCTCTACACCACCGGGGGCTCCCACCATATAGGTATATACCATCCAAAGCAAATTACTGGCTCTGAAACAGGGTGGGAGAAGACTGCAACCCTTGATTCTGGGCTCTGGGAATAATAAGCACTGAGAAAATACCACTCTTGCCATGTTGCCTCCCAGTTAGCTTTAAGAGGTTTCCTTGCTGCTGAAGCAGCAGCTTCCTGAAATTACCTTTTAAAGCACTTGACATTTTATACAGCACCTGGTATTTCCACCTCAGGAATCAGATCTTCTATTCTTTATTTAGTCTAGACCTAAACTCCTGTACTGTGGGAGAAAAAACTACATATGTCTTCCTTGCATATGAATAATGATGTTTACATTCAAATTGTTAGCCATTTATAAATAATATGAATAATAGATGTGACTTAATTTCAACACATCATTCAGAAACTAAGGAAGTCTCTCTAGCTCATGCAACAAAACGTTTAAGTGTCTGTGTTTAACGAACGTCAAGCAAACCTTGACAGAATATTAATATATCTAGAGGAAGAAAAGTTTATTCTTGCAATAGTGAGTGTATCAAAATTTCAGCTTCAGTGACATAAGTATCAGTGGAGTAATTTCCTATTCATGTAAACAGCTATCTAGGTTTCTGCTACTATATTTGAGATCTAAAAACAGTCATATAACTTTATCAGGTAAGCATGGAAAGGTCCTGTGCAATGCTACTTATTTTAAATATTTATTATGGCTTCTTCTATCTCACAGGAAATGTATTACAGGTAATCCAGATATGCTGTTAATCGGATTTATCATGTTTATATCACTGTTCAGAAAGTGGATTACTGACTTAACTAATATTAAATATGAGCTACAGTTGTATGGACAAAGACACTGAGTTGTATTCAACAAAGACACCTCTTAGGAATCCTTTCTACATCTAAACTATGTGTGTGATACATATTGGAAAGCAAACTAAAAAATGCTAATATGAGACTGGCAGAGTGACCAACAGGCAAAGCCTGGACACATTCAGTACAGAGGTTTTACTGGTTTTGTTTTTAAACACAGCTCCAGTGTTTATCAATTAAGCAGTCAAGGAATAAAACATGCAGCAAGACAGCCCAGGTGCAAGCAAGACAGCACAAAGCTACATGGTTAAAATAAATCTACTGACCCTTTCTCATTTTAAAATATTAAAAAAGAGAGGAAAATTGTCTAGCATAAGTATTAAACCAATATTAGTTAAATCTTATTACTCCACCTGTGTGGGCTTAACTGGCCTTAGCTCCTTTCACTTCATGCTCGAGTCAAAGAACTACAAAGTTTTAAGCTGAGCTGAACTAACACACAACTCACAGCTTAACCGTAATTTTAATACCCTCATATAAATTTACATCATGAACATGTAGCTTCCTAATCATTATGGCAGTGTTTAACAGCACACTTACCGCCACGATCCCGGGCAGCTAGATTTTGTCCTCTTCTTAAAGTAACATCCAACTGGTACACTCCAGGGTCCCCAGAGGGAAAATCTGCATTACTTGTTCTCTGCAGAGGAGGGAAATAAAAATGCAATAGCTAATGTTACTAAAAGTTTTATGTAAGGTATCACCATCCTACTGAACTAAGATGAGGCCATATCCCATTCCCCCACCTCACAGCTAATACCCAGCATCAAGGAATATGCCCATCTCATCAGTATGACAGTTCCTGAGATTTGCTTTTTTTTTTTTTAACAGAAACAAAAAAAACACCAGAAAAATAAACTGCTTGACAATTCTAGTTAAATATGTCATTTTAAAAATGTGTTTGAAAAAATAATTCTGTGATATAAGGGGAGTGAAACTAAGATCTTTAAGGTCCCTTCCAATGTCCCAAAGACATTTGTTGATTCTATGAACCTCTACTTTTAATTACATTCACATACAGTCCTGGCCCACTAGAGCAAATTAGGTAAGAAAAAAAACTAGACCTTACAGTACTATTTGGACTAGTCATTACCAGTACCCTCAAATCCTGTATTTATCCAATAGTGACAATCTATGCATTGAATAAATATGCATGAATTAAGATTTTGTTAGCCACTGCAGTACTTTGGGTTTTTTCCACAAAGTTCTGGGGGAAGCTGTGAGGGGAAAATAATCATAAAAAAATAATCATAAAATAATCATAAAAAAACATTAAATGCAGCTGTAGCTCTGCATGCCAGGAGAACTACTCTTAGATTAGTTATTTGTATAAAATGTATCATTTAAAAAATCCTCAACCAAACCAATAAAGGAAGTCAGAATGCAAGGAACTCTCTGGACTTCCAAACTGCATGAACACTAAGCACATTCCTGTCCCATACAACAAAGTAGAAAAACTATATTTCTCAGTACACATAAGCTTTTGCAAAATAGTTTTTAACACACCTCTCTGTAAGTAGAATCTAATTACAGTGTGTGCTTGGAACACCATATTTTATTTTAAGAGTAGAACAACTATATCGATTATACATTCACAGTACATACAGGAACTCACTACATACATATGCTCAAGCTAGGATCTAAATCTTTTAAAAGCAGTGCTATTAATATTTTATTATGTGATTACAGGTTCTCTGCAAGGAAAAAAAAAGCAACATGATAGAAATATCACAGAGAAGTTTTGTCTTCTTTCTTCCTAGTAAACCCTTTTTTCTTGTTAAGGTAATAATGAAACTAAAGCACAAAGGAAGGCACAAAATAAAGGCATTTCAACAAATGGCTTATTCTCATTATTCCAGAGTCATAACTCTGAGCTCTAACGTAGTTAACCTTTGCTACCACATACACAGTACTGGCCAAATCGCACACTGATATGCTCACTGGTTCCCCAGCAATGAAATTTTTTCAACACTATTGCATTTCAAAGAAAATTGTTAGATGAGCTTTGATTTGGTGGGGGATGTTGTTCTTGAAATCGAGCAACATTTTCTTCTAATTCTGTCCTTGTAAAATAACTGATGAGGCATGCCTGAAAATATCAGAAGACCTTGCAAGACACTTGCAAAAGGCAGGCACCAGCTTCTTTTAAATTACTAACTCCTCACTTATCAACTCTTTTATTCACTCTTTTTTTTTTTTTTTAAATGCACTGTCTGCAGAATACAAGACTGACAACAGTGACCCCCACTCCTCCAATGCTTAGTATCTAGTCCAGTCAGAAATAAGGAAAAAGCTGCATAATGGCCCCAGCCTTATCCATGACCACAGCATTTATCACGGTATTATGAAACAAAGAAATGTGTTCTGTAGTAACAATAAAACCCAAAACTTTCCTTCCCCTTTCTTGCCCTTCTACAAGAATTTGTAGTTACAAAAGAAACATGATGTCTCCCAACATTTATATTCTTCCCTGCCGAGTCCCCCTCTCTCTTTCCCTCCAAGGCATAATGCAAGCTCTACATTAAAATTTCTTGGTTTAAACATGTTGCTTCCTTTTCCATTTCTCACATCTTTTTCAATGTTTTTCCTTCTTCTTTTCTTGCAACAGAGCTCCAGTTTCTTTTAGATATTTATATGAATCAGTTTTCAAGGAGACTAGAAGCACTTAGGTGAGCAATGTAACAAGCCTACAGTATGTAACCAGTTAAACAAAAAGCACACAGATATTAACTATCCCTAAGTATTTAGAAAGTCAAACGAGTATTTCTGCATCCCAGTAGTACCATTTGAAGTACCATTTCATTAAAACTGGAGGTTGCCATAATAAACACAACTATCAATAAATTATTTTTTCAATCACCTATTTTAATTAATGAGTTCAAAAATTAAAATGGAAACAAAGAACCACTTTTGCACGGCCTGTAGTAACAAACTAAAGTTAGAAATATTTAGACAAGCAACTTGGGAGCATGCATGAAAGCCTACAATCACCCTAATCATAGAACTGTTTCAAAACCAAATTTTCTGAACTTCTGCACTTTAACAGCATCAAGAAAAAAAGTTCTCTGTACTTAGGAAAAAAAAACAAACAAAAATCCAAAACACAAACCCCATCACAACTAGTAGTTGCCTCATGGCTGTTTCTTACTGACTGGTACAGGATGACACCACGCCTGACAAAGAAAGGGCATGCTTTCACTTTTTGTGTCTAAAATGTACAGAATGTGTTGAAATTACTTTTAATAAATATTTAACAAAAATATTGAGATTCCAGGCAAAGAATAGAAAGGCTCAAGTATCCAGCTTCAATTTTAAGACAGAAAAAATATTTTGGCCAATTACTGCTTTATTGTGTCTACCGTTAGAAGAGGAAGACACAACCTCACTGCTCATATTCCGAGATGGACAGACTGAAGGAAGAGTTGACCCCTTGAACTGAAACCACCCATGACATAAGAAAAGTTAGGCAAATGAGTCACATTCACAGATATAATACAGATGTCTTCCACACTCTCCACATTAGTATTACAGCGGCCAGAGTCAACTGTAAAGTATCATAATTATTTTTTAGTACCAGAAATAGTGCAGCAGCATTTATAGAAAGTAACCAACTACAGCTCTCCTACAGCAATCTGCATTACTCTGTAGACATAAGAAATATATAAATAAAACAAAGTAAAAATGCATTCTATAAAGTAACTTGCAAAATATCCCCTTGATGTGTAACTAGTGGTCCTGAAGTGGTAATACCTCAGAGTCTGCAAACCAGATGATGTTGCTCAAAAGTCCTGGGAAAAACACAGCCACATTTTGCTGAACAAACAGACTCAACCCAGAAAGAACAGTATGAGCTAATCAGCTCCTCCAGCTGACCTGGCTCATTAAGGTAAGTATTTTGCTAGTGTTAGGTGTGGTATACACACACACAAAATGCTCATGGCCAGCTGGTATCAACTAAAATGAGATATACGCCATTATTTTCCTTTTCCACCACAAGAAAAATCTGTTTAATGTCTGAAGACATGCAAAACACCCTAACCTTGAAAGGAACAAAACCCACAAACTTCTTGACTTAATACAGAAAGGAGTATGTAGTCTAGATATAATTACAGCAATTTTTGCTATGTCTGACTAGAAGTCTAAGGCCTATTTTTATTTTTAAAAAATAACATTCCTTGCCTGCAACCTCTCTGCGGTTAAAAAAGTCTGCACAAAAACAGTGCAAAACAATCTTGTATGACAGGCACAAAAGAGACTGGTAGATTAAACCACATATCCTTTTCTCACACTGCCCTAGAGCATACTAGCTGCAATATGCCTCTAAAGTATGAAAAAATATATTTTCAAAAGCTAGGTAAAGAGACCCGAAGAAGTAGGTAGATAAATGTGGGAGTTTTGTTCTACTGCCAGTGGGTCATGGCAGTAGGCATCACAGATGGCTGTTTATAGCCAGGATGGGCTCAGATCTCTCTATCTCTGACTGGGGGACGAGATGGATCTGGAAGAAGAAAGAGCAAGATACTGTGGCCCAGGAAATACTGAATCTTGACCACTCTCCACTCGTGGACAATGCTTACCTCATCCTCATCTTCAAATGTGGAGTATTGCGTGTTGTGCTGATAAAAGGATAAAAGGATTCATGACTCCTTAATAAAATTTTTGGATAGACAGCAAGATGAAAGAAACAAATTCCTACAAAATTTTGTTGACTCTTTACAAAAACATTTACAAGATTTGGCTGACCCCTTACAAAAATGTCTAGATAGAGAACAAAATGAGAGAATGAAATTGGAATCCCTCCTTAATATGGAAAGAGACCTTATCAGAAGAATGCACCTTGAACTTTGTAAGGCTTCAGAGTGGGAGAATATACTGAGAGTGACATAGGTACCCTAGGAGGGATAAGAAGCTGGAGAGGGGAGTACAAGGTCTTGGACAGCATCTCAGTTAAGGAATTAGTTAAGAAATTGCAACAGCAATTAGCAAGTGAAAGGCTGCAGAACTTAGAGAGAGCAACTAACGAAACACTAAGCTCTCTGTCCCTGTACCCAGTAAGGAATTAGATGAGCACAGGGAGACCATGCACAGAAAACACTTGGCAATGTGACCTCTAATTAAAATGGAAGTAGTGGAGGGTAGGGAGGATGAGAAGAAGGAAATAACTACAAAGTCAGTACTGTATTCAGCTGAAAGTTTAGCAAAACTCCAAGAGAAGTATGGCAAGCAACCTTAAGAGTCAGAAACAGAATATGTTTTAACTGGTGGGGGACAGGATCCTCCTATCAGAAGAGAAAGACCAGAGAAACTAGGGACCAGAGGTTTTCCTAATGGTAAATGATAGTGGTCCAGGGTGAACCCAGATGCCTCACCCAGAGGGCTGCCTAATGGGCAAGGCGTTTATCTCCCCTGGAAAGGGGAGACCCCATAAGAATCCCCATGTCAATCCCCCTTATATGACTAGGTCAGGGAAGGAGTTTGAAACTTGGTGAAATATGCTATGAGCTGAAGGGAGAAAATAAGGGATCTCTTCTATGGAGCTGATGGATAGATTGCCCAATGCTGCTCTCAAAAAACTGGTACCCAAGTGGCTGGGAGGACAGAAGAGCACCAAAAGGTTTGGGATCTCTTCTCCTGAGCGGCAGAAGGTCCTGAGGGCCCTCAAGCTGTTCCAGCTACTCCTTCAGCTCCAGCTGGAGATCTGGTTAGCCTATAATCAGGAAACTTCTCTCGACATTCTCAAAAAGTGAACTAGGGGACAGCCAATGGAGGCATTTAAGAAGGCTCACTGAAAACCCACAGAAAAAAAAGCCAGTTGTGAAAAAGGGAGAGGCTGTAAAAGGGCAGGCATAAACAGCAGAAGCGCAGGCACCAACTGCTCTGAAGCAGAAAGTAGCTGCAGAAGAGGAAGCCCAGGGATACTGGGAACCAGGGGTTTTCCTACTGGTAAATGATTCTTATGAACCCTGATACCTCAACCCGAAGGCTGCTTATTGGTCAGGGGGTTTGGATCCCCTGGAGAGGGAAAGCAGGCTTCTGGAGAAGGAGCTGCTTCTTGTTGAGTGTGATTAGGAAAAGGAAAACAGGCTGCAGGCAGAGGGGCTGCTTGCTGCCGAGCATGATCATATTAAGAGGCTTTAGGGATGTGTAGGAGGGAAAAAGAATCTAACTGGAGGAATTGCAGGATGTAGAATCTGGACTCCTAATTAAAATTGAAACCACATATGATGGTTATGGTCAGCAAAGTGCTACCAAAACAGTGCCACATACGGCAACTGAGATATCAAAGTTATTAACAGATCAGTTAAATGACTAGACGGGAGATCCCGTAAGTATTCTCACTTTGAACTGGGGGACTGTATCTAGACTAACCCAAGCAGAAGCCGTTAGTCAAGACACAGCCAAAAGCACACAAAGAGTTTTAAAACAGTAGTTCAGTTATTTACCCAAGCTTGGTTTCATCCAACCAAATAATGGCAGCCACTTTACTGCTGGCAGTGGGGGGAGAAGGGTGGGCCGGGCATGAGTACAGGAGTGGGCTAGGGGTGAGAGGATTAATTAGACCTTACACAAAAGAGAAGGTAAAGATCCAGTTAAGCTTAAGCACCACCCAGGACAACCAATTTTAATGGCTTTATCTACTACTGGAGCAGCAACTCAAGATGCCATGGCCACTTACTCATGGGTAGCTACCAATGCCCATGATAAAGTACACTGTATTCACACCAAATGGATAGTGCCTTCTTTTTAATCACTGGATTTACATTAGGGCATTTTCTCTTTCTCTTTTCCTACTAGGAACTTTCCTACGAGGAACTATGATGGAGCACTTAAATTAACCTTGCTCTGTAGATCATGTTAATGTCAGGAACTTTGACCATGTGTTGTTGTTTGCCTAGTTATTTTACTTATCACTACTTGGCAATGTGTCCTTTATACCCTCTTCCTGTTAAATCTGAACTATTGTAATAAGACTCCAAACTTGGCTTAGGAGCCAATATAAGGACTTGTAAAAATATGGAGGTTTGATGGCCAATGCCCCAGTTTGCACAGGAAGAAGTAAGATTCTTTCCATTGCCTATAAATTTGTTTGCTGTGATGTTTCTTACTAGTAACACCTGACCTGGAGACCCAACAAAATATGGTTTTAGAAATCCTGTGTATATTTATCACCCTCCAGTCACTTATATAGTTGATTACAGTTAACTCTTTAAGGAAAGAATAAAACACTCAGGAACTTCTAAGAATGTGAAACTGCAAATTTTATTTGATCAATGATAGGACAAGGGGCAATAGCTCTAAACTGAAAGAAGGTAAATTTAGATTACTAGGATGAAATTCCTCACTGTGAGGGTGGTGAGGCACAGGAACAGATTCCCCATCCCTGGAAGTGTCCAAAGTCAGACTGAAGCAACCTGGTAGAAGGTATCCCTGCCCATGGCAGCAGGGTGGAAAAAAAGATAATCCTTCAGGTACTTCCAGCCCAACTCAACCCAACCCACTCTGTGATTCTGTTATTTTATTTGGTCAAATGACTACATAGAAAATCCAATCGGCAACATCCAGGCACAAATGAACAAAAGACTGCTCACCATTTAAAGATGAGTCAGTGATTACTTGACTTGATGAAACATAATCTTCCTCCTCACCAAAAAAATCACTCACATGAAACATGAGGTGCTTTTACTGACAAAAATCTCAGCACTGCAATACTTTTTTCCCCAGGTCCCACTACTCACACCAAATCTGGACCTTTCAAAACTAGATTTTTTTGACAGGGATGATATATCATAGCTCCGAAGCCTTTGAAAGATGAAACTTCTGGTTTGGTGACATGGCATGAATCACCTACTCCACAAGACTTCAAAATATACAAATCTAGACAGACCATTTTTTCGTGCACTTGCCATGGTTTATCACCAGTTTACCATTATAGAAATACACTGAATGGAACATACACTGAACACAACACAAACTCCACATAAAACAAAACTCCATACTGAACTAAAAGTGATCTAATTTGCCATTTTAATAAATCAAGTCTACCACAGACAAAACCGGTGGGAATTCTGCCTTCTTTTATATGGGAAGAGGAAAATATTTCTTTTCTTAAACTTAACAGCTTCAGGGCTTACATTATAGCTAACCTCTTAAAATTCCCTAGAAGGAAACACTTGTAATATCTGAGATCTAGGATGCATAACAAGATTAGAGAGGAAAAGGCAAATTCCATTTTCAGATCAATTGTGAGTTCT